GTGGGGAGATTCAGAAATCTGTGTTTAATGGAATTATGTCTGAATTTTAGTACCTCTCTTGAGATTACCTTAAAAGGTACTGTGTGGCTGATGAATTGAAAAGTACAGGTATATAACAGCCCTTAAAAAACCTTAAGGCAGTTTCCTCAAAGAAAACAAAAACCCCTGATTTGAAAAGATATATGCACCCCTATGTTTATTGCAGCACTATTTGCAATAGCCAAAGATATGGAAGCAACCTAAGTGTCCATCAGTAAATGAATGGATAAAGGTGTGGTACATATACACAATGGAATATTATTCAGCCATAAAAAGAAAATAAATCCTACCATTTGCAACAACATGGATGGAGCTAGAGGGTATTATGCTCAGTGAAATAAGCCAAGCGGAGAAAGACAAATACCATATGATTTCACTTATTTGTGGAATATCAAAACAAAGCAAAACAGAAGGAACAAAACAGCGTTAGATTCACAGACACTGAGAAGTGACTAGTGGTTACCCGGGGCTGGGGAGGCAGCAGGGGTGGTGGGGGGTGGGAGGGCACAGATGAAAGGGCACAATAATTTGCAATCACAGTATGTTGATTATGGGGACTGTTGAACCACTGTGATGTACATTTGAAACCAACATAAGATTGTATATTTATGATACTTTAATAAAAAATAACAATGAAAAATAACAACACCTCAATGCAGGAATTATGACCACCCCTCAAACTATAAAGATCAAAGAATTCAAACTATCATTAATCAAATTAAATCACTTACAGTAGGCAGAGTGCCCTGGATGGTAAATGCTCATCCGGGCTAGAGCAGGTCCACAGCCAATGAGGAAAATAAGGGCAATGTAGCTAGTTCCCATGAAGCTCTATTTATTCAATTGAGCCTACTGTCTTTTATTCTAAGATTAGGTCTTCCCTTATATTGGCTTATTAAAGTGTCCTTGCTTGTATGAAATGTCAGTAATTTTTCACCCTGGCAAAAGAAAAGTTGACAATGATATTACGACTCTCCATTCACATGTACTTACTCAGCCTTGAGGTTGAATTCTGGACCCATTCAAGGCAAATGATGTGAGGCAAATTTCTAAGCGACTCAGGCACCACTTCTCCTTGTGTACAGTCACAAAAATTAACAATAATATATGCAATAATATTATAGATCTTACCACAATTTGTAGAACACAGTAGATGATCAATAATTGGTGGTTATGGTTATATGAAAAATAAAGATGCTATATAAGTGTTGTCATCTATGTTAAGTAGAGTGTCATGATGATATAAACTTACTGTTTCCACTACTGTGTTAGATAGGTTTTTCCATTTTTTTCACGGTGACCTCATTTGGGACCTATCCATGCCTTCACTCCAACAGTGAGACAAAGCAGCAAGCAGCAAGGGGTTATTTCCCTTTCATGCACACAGCCAACCGAACAGCCTTGTGGTGATGGTGAGGAACATTTCACAGCCAGTGGTCGAGTGGGGTTGTGGCTACTGGCTGCAGTTCTTGGACCTAGAATTTAAACTCACACCCTTGATTCTTGGGCTAGTACTTACTGTTATATAATACATATCTTTGTATTTCCAATGCTTAATAAATTGTAGTCAGTCATTATTTGCTTATAATTTGAATAAATGTAAAAATTGAATTCTGGGAATACCATAGCTCCATGTAACATTAGGGTTTTCCCAATTATCTGCTGCTGTTTCTTTCAGGGACCTCTCTGAAATAGATGGCATTTTGGCAGGTGACCTTTAACTTACTAACTTGCTAAGGAAGACAGTAAACAGGAAAAGGGTGGGAGTTACTCATGACTAAAACCCATGGTAGATACTCCAGGTGTTCTGGCAAGTATCTTCCTGGTCAAGGTTTAAGCTAAATTCAAGCTCGATGTCTAATAACATCCAGACTTGTTTCCTAGGTGCCTCAAAGATCAAAAATGTTTTCCTAGATGGGTCACATTATGGGACCTTTGACTGACTTTAATGCAATGTGTGCAGTGCAATGACTGAATGCTTTAGAAGTATCTGCAGGCCACTCTGGGAAAGCAGAGGCAAACACTTTTGTGTCATGTTTGTCTGAGATTCTCATGTCACTCATGGAAAGCTGGTAGCTTGTCCGCTTGGATGGAGTCCTGCATCAGAAGCTGGGGGTGGGCAATAATGCAAGGACAGATCCAGGTGTTGTGAGGCCAGAAGACTTAGACAATTTAGGGTAATCTATTTAAGAAAATTAACAGGCATAAATTTCAAAATTAGATATCAAGTGAGTACTTAGGAGGGATCCTTGCAAGTGGAGGAACCAAAGCTTGGGCTTCATTAGCTTCCTGTGAATGTGTCTCTGTAATACTGGAAGCAAAATTTTAAGACAGAGTAATTGTGAGAGAACCTTGATGGACAGGACATTTCCAAACATTTGCCAGTAAGAGAAACATGTGCACGTATCTCCTGATTTTCAGAAGTTCGAGTTAATGCTACGTTGCTTTATGAAAGACTTACATTAGTACCTGTTTTTGGTTAATTGGAACACATCCGAAGATTTTCGCTTTTATGAAAAAAGGCAGAAAGTGAAAGTAGTGTCAAGCGTTTGTCTGGCACTAAGCCCTTACAGAGGCAGCATGCACCCTGAGCAGCTAGAGTCGTAGGGCTGCCAAGCTCCTTTCCGGGGAACCAGAGTCTCGGCATCAACAGCCGGAGCTCCGAACTGTGTCTGTGCGCATCTGTGCATTGTTACCTTGATTTATTTTGTGCATCTATTAGCAGCATGTGTCCTCAGGCATCAGGAAAGCCTAAGAGGTTGTTTTTGAGTAGTGGAATGCTCAGAAAATTTTCCATATAAATGAGCAGTAATTAATTGCTTCTTTGCTTGACTCCATTTCAGTTTAAGAAGCTTTCATAGGAACGATCTACTTTCATAGAAATCTGTACATGCTAAATGTCGCTCCAGAGATAGATATTAAGTACCAAGTGCTCAGTGGTGGCAAGTGAGGTTTTTAGGGAAGACTGCAGAGAAGGGGCCAGTCTAAATGCTGTTTCCAGGAAGTCGTCAGTTAATTGGAATATTTAGGAAACTGGGAATCCTTGGGTTTCCTTTTCAAATTATTCAAAAACAAAATGACATCATTTATGAGCCCTCAAAACTTTTCTAAATACTTTTTCAATTTTTCTGTAGGTTTAAACATTTTTTAAAAATCAATATAATTTGCCCATTAAGATTAAAGGAGAAAAGAAACCAAATAATTACTTAGGAAGGGGGAGATGATAAAGTATTCACTTCCCTCTTTAATAGAAAGTGCCCTATTGCTTGAGTGACTTAAGTTGCCTGCCTGGTGAGTACAGGGATGCTGGCCCCCATAACTGTCACTCAGGGACTGCTCAAGTGACATAGTGGTGGGGACATTGGTTTGACTGTGGAAGCTGGCACACCTTATATCAAGTGCTCAATGAAAATTTCTTGAATGGATGAATCAAACAAATGAATAATGCCAGTTTGAACAAATGAAGCCAGTTTTGAAAGCAATTTTTATTTCTAGGAATTCTGTAATTAAATTTTATCAGATTTGTTTGATTGCATTGAAGATTCCTTCCCTGAATATGGCCTAGGTTTGCAGGCAAAAGGACCAGGAAATGGAATGGCATTGACTTTGATTAAGCACCTGACATATACCAGATATTTTGTACATTTATTTAAGCTTTGTAACAATTTGCAGTTGAGGAAACTAGAGCTCAGAGGGCTTAAATAACTTGTCAGTGGCCTTACAGGGAGCAAATGGAAGAGCTAGGATTCAGATCCAGGTTTGTGTGTCCGAGGCTTCTTCTCTGAGTCTGTAACTTGTCATTTAGCTGTTTCTTTCCAGCAAATATGAAAGACACACAAAACAGACTTTAGAGGTAAAAAGAAGTATAAAGTAGAATGTGGTGTGGTTAAGTCATACTGCTTGTCCATTGGCACTATGTGATTCGGGGTCTTAAATCATCCATTCGCAAGACCAGAGAGTTGGACCAGATGACCTCTGAGTGGAATGATCACATGGCCAAGTTTACTGGGGCAGTCCTGACTCACACCCATTGTGCCAAGGCAGCTATTGTTAGCACCCCCCTTCCACTCTCAAAAGTGTACCACTGGGGATCATCAGTTCTAAGGCTCTTCTATATAAAGTTCTTTCCATGTCTTACTTCTGTGATTTCAAACGAATGTAGTAATTTTTTTGGTGATTAAAGCAACATGAATTTTCATTTTTCAGGCCTGTTAGCTACAAGGGACTGACAGGATGTGAGCGGACTTTCAACTATTAGTTGCTTTCCATTACTGGTACAGATATTTTTTCTGCTATTGCCCCTTTCCTTTAGAAGTACAATAGTAGATCCCCTTCTAGTCAATTTGTTCCAGTTGATTTGGGATCATTATATAAGTATTTGTTTCCTACTGCATAATAATAGTGGCTATTACTTATATAGTGCTTAGAATAAGTCAAGCTAAGTTCTGAGTTATCTCATTTAATGCACTTATTAATTCTAAGATAGTTTCTCACTTTCTAGGTAAGGAAATTTAAGCTGAGAGAAGTTAAATAACTTGCAAGTAAGAGATAGAGGCAGGTCTTCCTAGCCTCTTAGCCATTATACTATAGCATGATATGTGCACACACATACATAGAATATAATTTAAAAATTATCATACCTCCACTAGCCTTTATTGTATTTATCAGTGTCAATGCTAGTCTTTACAATTTCATTAGCCATTGCTTCCACCATCAATCTTAAACTTAGAGTAGAAGCATCTGACTCAAATAAACAGACAACAGATTTTGACTAAGATGCAGGTTTTCAAGAAAAACAAGGGATTAGAAAGTAGATGTGATGACCATTTACTTATATGACCTTTTCTTCTTCTTTTGAGTTTACCTTTCTTTATCAGAGTGTAAAACAAAACACAGACACTTGCTTTTTCATTTATATGTACATAGATAATACTTAAATTAAAAATCACCAGTTGACACTCTATCATTCTGCTTTTATTTACTGTCTGGCTAACTTACAAAGGTGCAGATGTCTAGGGTAGACTCTACCCCATCATTTAAACCAACCTGATGTGACATAGATACCATAATGTGCATGTTTACATAGTGCAGTGTTATAAAAACAATTTTTCTTCCTTTACAGTCCCTGACTACAAACAGGGAAAAATTCATGCCAAAAGTTTTTGGGCACTTTAACAATCATCCCATTTCTGCTACTAAAATAACAAAATTGGCATTAAATGTTAAAATATAAAGGCCTAACGGTTTTTACAAATATGCAAATAATCTGCTACTTAGATATAAAAAGTCAATTTCTTTCAAATCACAAAATAAGGCACCATTGGATTAAACATTTTTCTTGGTTTTTACCAAATAAAATGCATAGTGAAATAAATACTGAACACTGAATTTTAATACTGTAATACATTTCAATATAAAATGGTATGTAAATGTTAAAATACTGTATTGCATCTTGAATACATTTATCTGGAAATTTGTGGAAAAAGAACACATGTAAACTCTGATTTCAGGGAAGAAAATATTCATTTTTATGATTTTCCATAGTTTAAGATTTTAGCATACAACTTATTCAAAGTTCTGGAAGCAACTGGTTACAAACTTTCAAAGAAAGGGTGTAGGTTTATTAATGAAACATTCACTTAAAAAATACATTCTAAAACATCTATATCTTGAATGAATAGCAACTATGAGCTGTGCCCCTCTTTCAAACTTTAGGATGGTATCTGCAGTTACGATATACAAGGACATTGGCCATTCTTACTACCCTTTTACAAAATTCAGACCTACTTTCTCTGGGTCAGGCTTTTACCAGCCCTATCTGCTAGGAAGGCCAAATTCCATCTTTTCTAAAGTGGGTCATTAGGGCTTATCAAAGGGGTTATCAACTGTTGATATCTGATCAAAGAATCCAAAAACAAATGCTGCTATATTGCTGAAATATGAGAGATTAAAAAAAATTTTTTTAAATACTTTGTCAAGCTTGTTACACCTTTATATCTCTTGATTATTTTTGGTAAAGGGCCCCAAGTGACTTTGTCAAAGATGGATGAATGGTAAAAGAAAGAGAAAAATGACCAAATTCTCTAATGTACTGAGCCCAGGACTTTGGCAAGGAGAGTTATAAAAACAGAGTATGTTAAAATGGGCAACCTCCTAATTTATTACTATCCCATTTATTAGAATTCTAAGTTCTTTTGCTTTTATATAAATGCACCAATTATTTATTCTATGAACATGAATTGCATCTTTCGAATGTTTCTTTGGATTGATTCCTTGTTAGCATCTCCCAATAATACATGAACAAAACACTGAAACTCTGATACTGATACAAAGTTTAGGTAGATAGACATAAACACATGGGGCTGTGTGCGTTTAAAAAACAAGTAATGGTAATTTTAAACATAATTAACCATATAAAACATCTAAATGGAAATATTTTTTTTTCAACTCTATAGTTAGATTTTAAAGTCCCAGTAAAGTTCTGTAAACAAAATCATACAACAAAGGCAAGGCCGGCTCATCCCTGTGGTCCTCTCATTGAGGTTTATTTGCACAGATCCAAGACAAATGATTCTTCCAGACAGATTCAAAACAAATCCCCTCCAATTTCCTGTAGCAATCTCTCTGTCGCTCAACTTCATAAGCATCAGATTTAGATTTGTAGAGTTCTGCCCGTCAACTCAAACCTATTCCCCCTTCCATGTTTCTGATTTGCAACCTCTCCTTGACTCCCCCTGAAACTGCAGAGCTGAGGACCCTCCCTGCGCCGAGGGTCGAGCTGGGTGGAAAAGGAAGGAAGCTGCTCCAAGCGCCCAGGACCAGAGTCCAGCTGCCCAGTGGGCAGGGCCAGTGGGTCTGCGTCCTGAAGCCCTCTCTGGCTTTCACTCTCTTTCTCATAATGTCTTTATTCCACGTGATGGTGATCCCTATTAGATCCATTTCTGACCTTGTCATTGTAAAGCAACACTTGAATACAGATATTAAGGGAAAATAAGGGAGCAAAGTAAGGTCAAACGGTCTGGCAAACAAGGTTTTAGGTCCTGACTTTATTTTTAATTACTAAAGCTCATCTTGCCTTTTTTGTTTTTTAAACAAGAAGTGTTGCACTGGCCTCTGTCTTCTAGAGCTGCTCTGTCCAGTAGAGTCGACACGAGCCACATGCGGCTACCAGGCACTTGAAATGTGACGAGTTCGAATGAAAATGTGCTCTGAGTATAAAAGATACCCTGGATTTTGAAGACATAGTACCAAAAAAGAATACAAAATAGCTCATTAATGATTATTATATTGATTTCAGGTTGAATTGATAATATTTTGGATGTTTGGGTTAAATAAAATATATTAAAATTAATTTCACCTATTTCTTTCCCTTTTTTTAATGTGGCTGCTAGAAATTTAAAAACAGTGTCTGTGGTGATATTTCTACTGGCCAGCCCTGTCTTAGAGCTCAGCCGAGACCACCAGAGAGCACACCCTGTGACGGCAAACACGCATGTGAGCCCTGCACAGCGCCTTGCTCAGGCGCTCTGTGGGCCATGGAAGCAGGGAGGCAAGCATGCAAAAAGGCATAGAAAGCAAACAGCTTTTGGACACTTCAACATTACAGTCTGTAGCAAATACGCAGTGAATGTTTGAATTCGGTTAGTTGAAAGCTAGGACACAATTCATCTCTGCCTACTCACCGCAAAAGCCTACTGACCCCCCGGCAGCCACACTGGCAGCCGCCGCAGAAACAAGCAATAGCTTTGAGAATATACGTGATATAAAAAGCTAGCCCATGTCTTTACTGTATTTCCACCCCCACCACACATCCCCACATCACTCTCCCTTCTTCCTACTGCCAATACAAAGGAGACAAGGGAAGACAGGGAGGAGGGCGTGCAGTTCTCAGGTGTCAGCTACAGAAGTCGCTCTTGGGCTCGGGTGGAGGAGAACAGGCAAGGATCACCTCGGGATGGGGGGAAGGGGTGGGGCACCCCGTTCTCTTCGGTTGGATCCACCTTGATAAAAAAATAGGCAAATATAAATTTTGGTTAGAAAGCTTATGTTCTCACTGTAGAAAGTCAAAGATGGTTGCAAAAGTACCCACCCCTTTATCCCCTATGAACAAGGCTGTACCTAATGGGCACACTCAGATGGGAAGTGCGGAGCGAGGGCAAGACGCAAGGAAGGGTTTGAGCAAACATTACTAGAGAAGGATTGCTGGCTGCCCAGGACCTGCACAGAGCTAAGAAAGTTTAAAAAGTTATGTTTTGGGGAGGGAGGGAGAAGGGGATTGAGGGGATTATGATCAGCACACATAATGTAGGTGGGGGGCATGGGGAAGGCAGCACAGCACGGAGAAGACAAGTAGTGACTCTGCAGCATCTTGCTATGCTGATGGACAGTGACTGCAGTGGGGTGAATTGTAGTAACCACAATGTTGCTCATGTGAAACCTTCATAAGACTGTTTATCAATGTTACCTTAAAAAAATGCCAAAAATTGTTTTTTATCACATAGTGTGTATTACAGATATAGACAACATGGATGAGCAAAAAACAAAACAAAAATTCACTAATGCTTGCACCACCCAGAGATAACCAATATTATGCACATATTTTCCATTTATTTTCTATATATTAATAGTTCCCCTTTTCTTCCAAAAATAGGATCACATATAGCCCATTTGAACATTGTTCACAGTCATTATTCCTTGCAAATATAATTATTAATGACATATTGCATGCTATTATATCCTACAGTTTATTCAATCCCTTTCTGTTGGGCATTTAGGTATTTTCTAATTTCTAAGCAATATTGTCTTGATAGCAGCTCTCCTAGTGAGTGTGAAGGGGTATTTCACTGTAGTTTTACTTGCATTTCCCTAATGACTGGTGATGTTGAGTATCTCTTCATGTGCTTACTGGCAATCTGTTTATCTTCTTTATAGAAATGTCTATTCAAGTACTCAAGCCATCTTAAAAATTGAGGGATTTTTTGTTGTTTAACTGTTGGAATCCTCTACATAGTCTGAGTATCAATCTTTTATCAGATACATTATTTGCAAATATTTCATCCCATTTCATGGGTTGCCTCTGCACTCTGTTGATGGTGTTCTTTTAAAGACTGCATATTTGTGGGCTATCAGCACACCATAACTTGGTTCAAACTACATTCACAATTTAAAAAATTCATTTGTCCCATACCCATTTTTCTAAGGACCTACCAGGTGTTAGGCATGAAGCCAGGTGCTCAGACACTGTGAGCAAGTCTACCAGGGGCACAGGTCAACTAACAGGCCCACTAGGACCACTGCTCTGAGACTCAGATGGGCTGGCACTGACAGGTTCCTCAGCAGGTGTCTTAGCAGCAACCACAGTTGCCTACTTAGAGATTTCTGAGCAAGGAGAGGAGACAGAGGAGAATGCTGGTGGTCTATTACCTTGCCTCTTCCTCTTTCCATCCTAACCAAGGTTTTTGGGGGCACACAGCTGAGGACAGAGTCATCTGGATGTACACCAGCCACATGTCATGGAGCCTGAGCATCAGGCTCACCACAAGCGGTGAGCAAATCAGGGCTGGCTTGTTCAAAGCTGTGGTGAGGAGGCCCTGCTCAGGGCTGCCTGGGTGCCCCACCTGGCTGTGGGCCTGGAGGCCAAGGCAGCTCCAGGAGCAGAATAAAACCAGTTGAGAGCACTTTATTATTGGTAGAGAGATGGTCCATTATCATTACAAAATACTAAACATGCATAGTGCTAGAAATCATTAAAGCAAAAAGTTTTTGGCAAACAGTGGAAATTAATTCACCAATCTAAGAAATATTTTAAATATTTTAGTATGTTTTAGGCTCTGTGCCACTTAAGGAAGATGCAATATTGAGCAAGACATAGTTCCAGTCTCTAAGTGCCCACAGTCTCTAAGAAAGAGGGTGGGGAAGGAATGTGTTTACCTATTAAATTAAAAATATAGAGGGACTAGGGAGCATGATTCTGTTGCGGACTTAAATATACAAATTGCACCTAAATTAGATTAAGAATGCTTATAAGAAACCAGGAGAAAATATTTAGAGTCTATGTAAACAACTCCTTAAAGTGAATTTATTAGGCCCCAAGAGAAGAAAAACAGGCTGTATGTACTCTTATCAGATAGTGAAGCTCCTCTTCACACACACACACACACACACACACACACTCATACTCTCTCTCACTCACACACACACACACACACACACACACACAACTCACATTTGCCCCATGTGAAGACTTATTTTTCAACCACCAATTCTTGTATGGTAACTTTATTATAGTTAACACCTTTTTAATTAGGCAGTCTCTAAGAATGTAGTATTCCATATTAATGAATTTTTCCAGGAATTAAACTTTTCCTTTCAAGCAGCAATATTCTGCTTACTTCTAGCATCTGTTTAGGGAACCTTTCCTAAAATATATTCTCATTCTTTGTATTCCTCAATGGAGACAAAGCACAGTTTGACCTGTTGTTCCAAAGCTGACAGAAGCATCTGGACTGCCCTGTGCTACAGTACAGAGCAAGCTCTGTGTCCCCAGCTCCTCCTCGGACCTGCCGCCGCCGTTTAGCATTTCTCCCTGAACTCAGTATTTGCTCTAACCAACCTTAACTCTAGCTATTAATTTGCTCTAAAGCTGGAATCAACCAACCAAAAATTATTGAAGAACTGTGTGTTAAAGAGCCAGCAGTATGTGGAGTATGTGGAAGGAGGTCTGCCCAGGGACTGAGGACAGGCTAGGGGCATGGTGGCAGTTATTTGACAAGCTCACACCTTTTTTTCTACTTATGTTTCTCATTTGGGAGTTGGTTCTGAAGCCAAGCCTGTTGAAGTCTGAACTTCATCAGTGTTAAATATATTTCATGCTGATTCTTTCTTAGTTCAATCCATTTACTGTTGTGAAATTTACTTTGTATATTTCTGCTTCTTGTTCACATTTTTGTTTCAACAGGGGAAAAATGATTCGCTACTTTTATGAGCATTGTATATATTAGCAAAAACCAGAAACAATCTAAATGTTTAATAATGGTAAACTAAATTATTATGTGCTAATTTGATGGAATCCTGTAAAATAAAAAACAAGTGATAAAATGGGGAAGTGTTTACTAAGCAATGTTATATGAACACCACCACCAAAAAAACCCACTCTATAACTATATAAATTAATAAGAATTATATGGATAAAGAGAAACTGATAAAATGAAAATGCTTGTTACATGGAGAGATTATGTGTATCTTTAACATTTTCATGTAATGTTCTATAAAGCTAAATATAATCATAACATTTAAAAGATCAAAGCAGTTACAGTGAGCTTTTGATGTAATTAATAAAACATTTTGTTAGTCTCAAAACTAAGAGGAATAGAAAGGTGGCTCTATTTGTGCTGTCTTAGGAGGATCAAAATGCAGGATTGTTGTCCAAACAAGCAAAATAATAAAATTTAATCTGCTGCAAACCAAAGTTGTTTTGAGCTTATAATGACACATTAAGGTAACTGTTTCTCATATGCATTTGTGGTATCTCTATTTTTCCCATCATGTGATGAAGGGGAGTTCACCAGAATTTAGACGGCTCCATGTGGGGTTCTGTGTCTCACTCCAGACAGGAGGCCTGGATTTCCTATACAACCCTCAGTGTACATAACACAGGCTATTCCAGTGTGAAGCCACCAAAGCCCTTGCAGAAATACTCACTCCGGTTTTCATTTCTTGCCAATTTACTGGGATAACTTTTGGTCGTTGGAACATACGGTTCTGGAGGTGGCAAATCAGAAATCGGATGGAAGTGGAATCTGCTTTCCCACTCATCTGAGAGACAGAAACAGACAGTGTCTTCAGTGACAGACAATCAGCTGTGAAGGTTTATGTGATGAAAGGCACAAATGAAAGAGGAACCTACAGACAGCACTTCAAGCTTTATGCCTGCAAATAGCACTGACTAGCACATCAATAAAATAAGCTGGTCTGCACATCGAAGACAGATATGTCTAAGTTATTTCAGCTAGAGTGATTAGGACCCCACCAGTCCCCCTCAGGAGCTGGAGGTCTGAGATACTCTGCTTCCTGCCCGTGGATCCAGGAGTAACCGGGACCCTCCGATGACAATGGCAGAGGAAAGTGGCTTAGCATTTGTAGGCCACTGGGCCCCTTACCTACAGCCAATGGTTTAGAAAAGTAGGTAATAAGATGGTAAACTACACAAATGGTTCTTTTTGAATTCTGAAGTCTCTGGAAAGTTAACCAAAATGAGACTCAAGCAAACAATGAGACTCAGAGAAAAATGACCTGCCTTTTCTGCAAGTGGGAGAACAGGGAATTGCTATTTTTCATTTGAAATCATGATGCGCCCCAGTGGTTAGATAGTTACAGCAATATGGTGTGGAAACAATGAGGGCCATACAAACATGAAGTTTTAATGCAAACACAAACAAATCTACCATAATTCCGTTGCTGTCCCATAGCTACTAAGTGTTTCCACGGAGCTGAGATCACACCTCACCTTCACATGAAGAGTCTTGGAAGCCATTTCTAACAGATGTTGATGGTGGAGGTGGGGGAGGTGCCCCAGCGCCAGGCCTGTCGGGAGGAAGAGGAGGCCTGGGCCCACTTCTGGAACTATCTACTCCACCCCTGGACGGCAACTGTGGGGTGGCAGGCAGGGCCCGAGCCGTGCTGCCATTTCTGCTTATTGGAGGGGGTGGGAGAGGGCCTGGAGCAAAAGAAAAGAGGACATTTAGTGCAATACTGTACATCCTGTGTTACTATTATCATGTGCAATTAGTGAGTGCCTGGTGGATACATGCCCTTTAACTAGCGAATATGGAGAAATGGTAGAGACTTTCTAAGAGATTTAGCTGAGAAATTAGTAAGCACACATAAACACAGAAATTCACGTATGTACACACACAAATGTGGAGAGAGTGCATATTGAAAGCTAAATGGCTGTTTTGGCTTTGAGTTAATACTGAGGTTGGAGATGATTCAGTTAAGTTGAAAACAGGTGATAATTTGTTTATACTGACAATATACTTTACAATCCTCTTATAAAGCTACTGAATTAATTTCTGCAACATCACACTTATTAAATAAATGCTATTTTACAAAAGAACCTCTTAAAAAGAGTCACGTAGTTGTAAAGTGATTTTAGGTCTTCAGTAGAGACTGAGTTATTTAAATGCACAGCATTATTGCTAATTACACACGCATGTTTCTGTGATGCATATGATCTGTTTCCAGGCAGAGATGGCATCAGGAAACCAAGGGTCAGGCATCCTCAGGTTAGCAGGAGTTCCTTTTTGATTCTTCCTCTCTGGGGAGGCAGAATAACAGGGAGTGACCAACAGCCAGCCAGTGTGCATGGCTATAAATGCTGGTGAGGGACGCTGACCCTGAGATGGTTTCCTCATGAAGCTTGATTTCCTATCTACAAAGAAAGCACGAAATAGTCACCTTCTTCACAGCACTGTTGCCAGGAATAATAGTCAAAGAGCAAAATAAAAAGCACTACTTAAGTATTTGAAACCATTTTTAAACACAGTGGTGTGGTATAATCAGAAATGTTTATGCTCTTAGAAAATAATTCAAGGTAAATTCTTTTGCTAATACCAGAGAAACCTACCTTGCTTGTCCCATCTTCCAAATGCAGAGGCTATTTGGATCATGAGTAAATAATATAAATCAAAATGGCCTTAGTAATTATTCCTGATCTTCAGCATTGTGTTCTGCTTGCAAGATGCTGAGATTTTGTGCAAATGCATCTCTTATGGCATCATAAATGGAAATATGTTGCTAAATATAGATTCAGAATTGAACTGGAGGACCATAAACTGAATGACGCACCCACTGCAGATATCCTTGACTGCAAAACCTTGGCTCAGACACTCATGGAGGTGGGAGGCATGCCCATACCGGCCAGACTCTCAAGGAGTCTCCCACATGGTAGGGTTTATTTATTGCCCCATCTGCTTGTCATCACTGAAGACCCAGTCAGTAGGAACTGATTACTGGGGTGGGGTGGGGGCAATGTCTCACATGCTGTGGGCTTAGCTCTGCTGGCACTGTCAGCACCCAACTGCCACGGAAAGCAAACCAGACATCCCACATCACGGGACTAGTAACTGTTATTTGACAGACTTGATCTCAAGCTCTCTCTTTTTTTAAGTAAATGTCCATGTTCCTCACTCTCCCAACTTCCAGGCCCCCATGCTCCAAACTTCAGCAAGCATAACAGAAAACAGATTTCTATTTCCTACTGGCAGCATCAACAAAAAAGCCATCATTTATTGAATGCTACTACATGCTGGGAAATAAGATAACCACTATGCACACTTGCCTCACTTAATTCTTACAACCCGAGAGGTGTAGGGACAGTAGACAAGGCCCTAAGGTACTGGAAGGTTACGAAGCCCAGTAGGAGGCTAACAAGCAGAAGAGCCAGGATTTGACTCCAAATCTACCAAATTCTAAAGCCCACTCCCTTAACAATGAAACTACCTCTCAAAATACAGATGGCCTTTGATGACCTCACATATGCTCCTGTGGGAATGTAAATTTGTAGGAATTTTCTAGACATCAATTTGGCAGTACTTTATGACACCCATGGTTTACTATGAATATGCACTGACTTAGAAATTCACCCAAAGGAAATACATCGAGATGTGCACAAACTTTAGCTACAAGAATGTATCCCTGTATTATCTGCAAGCAGCAAAAACTAGAGATGGCCTATGCAACCAAGTGAGAAATTAAATAAATCAAGGTGTATTTTCAGGACCTAATATTATACAGCCATTAAAGCCAGGTTGTAGAAGAATAGTTAATCACATCAGAAAATGCTAATGAGATGTTATTAAATAAAAGGCAAATTATCAGATATATATGTAGTGTGATACCAGTTTTGTAAACATGGAAATAAATGCATTTTTAAAAGACTGAAGGATACAGTATATAGAAAATGTTATCAATGATCATTTCTGAATGGTGGTGATGGCAGGATTATAGATTTTTACTGCCTTTATACTTTTCTCTATTTTCTATAATAAACAGGCATGACTTACACCATCAAAGAAACAATAAATATTCTATGTCACTGCCTATCCTATTTCGGGAAAGATTTCATCTGTTGATTCATCCAGTTGGTAGAGCCATGTAAACAGCTCCTCAATCACTTTGGGGGAAAACCCATGGTTGTTGGGTAAGAAGGAAACACTGCATTTTCTTCATCTGACTACCTGTTCCCCTCTGTTCACTGGAGAACACTTAGTGAGACAACACCATGTGCAGGGATCAGACTGAATGGACTGGTAGCTTTTGGTACTTGTAGCCAACTCTGTGGCAGAGCGTCTTGAAGAGCTGTTCTCAGAGTTCGCTGCACATACAATCACAGGGAGCTTCCAGTACCCTGATGCCCAGTGCGCCTCCCAGGCCAGTGTGACTGAAGCCCAGCAGAAGGGACTCAGGCACCTGAGGCTTTTAAAGCTCCCTAGGTGATTCCAGTTTGTGGTCAAGCTTGAGGACTACTGATTTAAAAAGCAGTGTTTATTAGGTTTCTGAGGTCACAGGGTCAAAGGTCAGTTAATGTCTCCTGAAGTAAAATATGTCCCATTTTGGGACATCCTGGATGTATGATAAGGTTAAATTTAAAAAGTAGAAAGTTCTACTGAATCCATCAGTGTGGGAAACAAAAAAGCACCTATTGTAACTAGGAGAGAGTACAAACTGGGGAATCCTCAGATTTCATTTCACATGCTGAACACTCTTCCCTTAGATCCAGGTTTCTCCACCCTGGGTGGGGGCGGGAGGGGGCACAGACAAGGTGCAGCAGGTCCTTCAATCTATGAAATAGCACACAAATTTGAGTTTACGCTTATGAGCATTTTTATGAAGAGAAAGCCTATGCCTTTATCTGATTCTCCAAGGGATCTATGTGCCAGAGGTGTTAACAGCAGCAAGAGGGACCCTTTAACATTTGTCTTTAATGAGCAGAGAAGTGGCCTCAAAGTCTGACAAAAGAAGGGAGCAGTACAGGACAAGTTCATTCACTGCCCTTCTTGTTGGAATAATGGAACCCTCCTGTAGGAGATGGAAATTTATCCCCACAATTAAGACAGCTGAAATTCACTTTTGGGAGGGAGGGTAGTAGAATGGCAAGTTCACTTCAGAGATGAAGGGGGAAAGTTCTGGCCTCTTCTTTAACTGGCTTGTGATCATTTAATTATACTGGTTACTCTCATCTCTGAAATATAGACAGAAATAGCAGTCCCACATTCTTCAGAGGCCAAGATGAAATCACACATGTTAAGTGTCACTTGAAAAAATTAAAACAGCCTGAGAGTTTACTTAAGCTTTTGCTGGACTCTGTTCATGCCTGTGACTATCGGTGACATCTGGCAGGGTGGGCTACAGGGAGACAACTCACCCTGGTATTGCCATACCTGATCTGCCTGGTGGCTCCCTCACTGGAGGAGGGGGTCTCTCACTGGGCGGGGGAGGAAGAGGGCCTGAACGTCCTGGCGAAGGGAAAGGGGGTGCAGCCACAGTGAGGGACAAGTTCCGCTGTGGGAGTCTTGGGATTTCATCACTGCCACTGGAACCGGGAGGCAGGGGAGGAGGGCCAGGCCTGCTGGGCGGTGGTGGCGGAGGTGGGGCCTGTGAGGAGGAGGAAGGCCTTGGGGTAGAAGGCACCGGGGGCTTGCTGTTCTGAGGAGGAGGGGCTGGGGCCACCTCCCTGTGGATGGAGGGCCTGTTGCCCACTGGAGGAGGTGGAGGAGGCGGTTTGTCATCCAAGGCCCTGCTGGGTGTAGGGGGCAGGGGAGGCCTGTTGCAGAAGAGCGAGGAGGAGCTGGAGGGTGCCTGGCGTATGGAGCCTCCTCCAAAAGCAGCCCCTCGGTTTCCAGGGAAAGGGGGCGGGGTTGGCCCAGGGCTGGGCTGCCTGGGGGCCCCAGGCACTGCTGCAGACCCGCGGCTGTGCAGGCTTGATTGAATGGGTCTTGGCGTGTTAGGTACTGGAGGGGGAATGCTGTCAGGCTTTGAGCCCACGTCTGGCCTCGGAGGAGGGATTCGGTTCCTCTGAGGCTCTGGGGGACCACTTCTGTGGCCTGGAGAAGGCACAGGAAACCTCCCTGGGCCACTAGGGCTTGAGAAAGGTTTGGCAGATGTGGCTCTTCCTCCTGGTGGCAAAATCGGGGGTCGGCTTCCTCCAGAATCTGAAAAATAAGGAAAAAAGTTCAACTAGAAAACATGAAATATTAAAGGAAATCAGAGGACTGAAGTATAATCCCAGCTACCAGAAGTATGCTATAAAGTATATAGAAGAAACTATTATTTATATAAATCAGATTTTGTGTGGTCCCTTCTGGAGGCAGAGGAATAGGTCACAGCTCTGTTTACCTTCTAGTCCCAGGGTCTACATGCTGTCAGCTTTCAAAAGGATTCTGGAGAGCTTTCTTGCCATTATGTATGGACAAGAACCAGGATGAAGTTGCTAAGAGTTCTGGAGAGATCCCTATTAATTATGAGAGGACAAGAAAGGACGGTGTTGGTACATGGGATTTCTGCAAATGTTTTTCTTTTTCCCCATCACCATCCCTGTCCCCCTACCCTTGTACCTCTCAGCTTTGAAAAATAATTTAGTCATCTTAGGTGAAAAAATTAGTTATCCCAACATCAATCTCCATATGGGAGTGATTACTTAGTCCCTTTGAGGAGAAATTTCCAAAAGAAAGTGGAAGACTATAATGGAAGAGTTAAGACTGAAATATGAAAGAACTAAAAAGAAACAGCCAAAGTTTAATGGAAAGAGCGGACACCAGTGGATGGTCTTAATCTGCAGAGAACCAGGCAACTGGCCCAATGCTTTCCTTACTTAGTTGACTTCCACTTCAGTATTGGCAGGACAGAACAACCTTATCACATAATTAATATTAAACTGCTTTGGTTCAACAAAGGGAACCAGGGTTATGGGAAATTAAAACCACCACTCCACAATCTCTTGGAACCCAAGGTAATTCTCAAAAAATGATTAGCCTGATAACTTCTACCACTTCAACCATGAGCTAATTAATGTACCATATATTTACTGAGCAATGGTCTATGCCAGCCATTATTCTAGATTCTAGAGACAGAGGAGTAAACAAAATAGAAAAGATCCTGCTCTCATGTCATTTAGATACTTGTGGTGGAGATAACAATAAACCAGCATACATAAATGTATTCAGATAGTTATAAGTACTAAAAAGAAGAAGCTAGATGAGGCAGCTGGGGATGGATCTTCTGAAGATGTGACATTTGAGCTGAGGCCAGCTACAGAAAAAGGAGGAAGATAGCACTTCAGCTGAGGGCCAGCAGGTGCAAAGGCCCTGGGGTGCAAACAAGCTTTAAGTTGGAAAATGGAGGCCCAGGTGCATGGGGCACAGTGAGGGTGCAGGAGAATCCTAGCAAATAGAGGCTGAGTGGCCAGCAGGGGCTGGGTTATAAAGAGCCTTATAGGCCAGAAGGAGTTCAAATTTTATCCCAGGCACTACAAGAGACATTTGGGTGGATTTATACAGTAGAGTAATATGGACTCTAGGGAGAATATTTCATTTTAACTTAAGTACTAGGAAAAAGCTGTATTTTCCTTGATGTGTGGTATATTTCTGTCACCAACTTGGGGATAACTTGTATCTTCCAAGTTTGGATTAAAGCTGCAGTTACTATCTACATATACATTATATGGAAAGTATCCATTATGTGGACAGTGTACTATGAAAATGTATACATCTGCTATACCATTTTGTGCACTAACTTAAATTCCATTTTCATTTTATTATTTTATGTCATTTTTTGTCTTAATTTCATCACTTATTGTTAAAGTATTGAATGTATACATTTATCAGCTGCCTCAAATCCTTTTGGTGGGTTTTAAATAAATAAATTTAAGTTTAAATGTAGGTATGACAAGATACAATCTCTCATATTATTGAGTCTCTTTCTACATTTTGGCAATCCAATGCTAAAAAAGTCAGCTAATTCTGAATATTCAGTGTCTTTATCCTCAAATGAATGTGAGAATCATATAATCTCCCAGCAGATACATTAAAAGACCATTGAACTAGAAATAAAATTATTCTAATGTAACAAATGTTAATAAAGAAAGTTTTATGGTAAAATTTCTTGAACCTTATGTACTCTCTAAGGTTTTTTATTTAGGCAAGGCCAGGTTCAACTTTTCTCTCTGCCATCAGGTTCACAGACAATTCTGTAGGACTCATTTCCATGGCTCTTTGCAGGGAATACTTAGAATCACTGACCCTGAAATGCCAAATGTCCATCATGCAAAATACACCTTTTTAGATTTAGTGAGATATGTAATTATATTCCATATAACAATCCACAGTGTATTTGAGAAATGGCTCACAAGTGAAGCATTTACTATACTAGACAGCTGGGTCAAACTACCTCACAAAGAGAGGTGGATTTGCAAGGTCACCAGGCAGAGTTTCCAGGGGTGGCAAGTTCCATTTGTTCCTTCTTTTTCTTTCCACTCTAGCTCACCCTTTGGAAAAGTACAAAAAAGTGTAAGTTACCCCAGGGACAATGGGAAAATATTTAACAGCTCAATGAAGCTGTCTGATTAGGACTTAAAAAAAAAAAAGATAAATAGAGTCTCTCTTATAAAACAGTGTTAACATTTCAGGCAATCTAAATATTTACAAGGATGCAATGCCTTAGAGGGGATGCCAAGCCTTCAAACCATCAAACTACCTGGTCTTAAGAGAGAAGGACTCTTCTTACCATTATCCCTATTGGCCGTGGATCTCAGCTTCGGCATTCCAGCCTGGAACAGTCCTCCCAAGCCGGGGGGTCCGCCCCCTCCAAAACCACCACCACCACCACCGCCACCACCGCCGCCGCCGCCGCCCCCGCCTCCTCCTCCGCCGCCCCCGGATCCTTTTGGTTCTGCAGGGAGAGAAACACGGTCTCCTCACCACGTGTGAACATATCACCCGAGTACTTCACAGGCTCTCGCCCAGGCAAATAATGAACAGTAATAATGAAACAGGCAGCTAGCTGACACTGATCCCATGGTGGACCGCTTGGGTTTCATTAACCCGCAGGCTTGTAAGGACTCACCCTACCCCCAGTCAGAGAAGGAGGGTTTCCGCTTTAGGGCAGTCCTGGCAATACACGACTACCTGCCCCCAAGCCCTGCTCTTGGCTACGGACCCTATGCAGTGATATCCATTTGTTCTATAGCTTAACTGAGATTTGGTAAATAAAAGAATCTTCAAAAAGAACCAAGGGAGGGAGAAATGTAATAAAAGATGAGAAGAAAGGAAGTAATAATAAAGAAAAAATAAAATATCCATAATTTTACTTCCTGTTAAATACCCACTGCTTTTAGTGTATTTTTCCCACTTGTACTTTTCATTTTACAATTTTTTTCTTAAAATTAAGACCAAATTCACAGAACAGTTTTTAGCCTGTCTTCATTTAATGCTTTATTAGCATTTCCCATGTCATTAAATATTCTTTGAAAACCTGAGTTTAAAGAATTGCAATGTGTTTTAGAACACCAATGCACTGTAGTTTGACCATATACTTATTTGATGACCTTTTAGGTTGACTTCAATTTTTTAATATCATAAAGCACAGCAGTAGGATTTAATATTTAAAAAATCCTTTGCAATTTGAGACAGTACACAGATTTTGTTTTGCATTTATTTCCAAAAAATTGTGAAGATTTTGAAATGCACAAACAAACCAAAAAAAAAGGAAGGAAGAAAAAGATTGCTAAGTATCCTGTTAGTCTTCTGGGTTATTTTCCAAATCTTTGAGATATTTTAGAACTCTCTAAGTTTATAGAAAATGGGTAAATGATACATGTCCACAGAAATGTAAATTAGTCATGTTCAGTTTTATGTTTTATGTAAATACTGAACTTCCATAACAATGTAAATTATTAATGTTGCTAAAGATAACCACATTCTGATTTCAATGAGAACACCTCTAATGAGTCAAAGATAGATATTAACTATTGGTTTGAAACATGATTTTTTTCTTCTTCCTAAATATGCACGGTCAGCAAGGACCATCTGTTTTATCTGTTTTTGAGACTTTCATATAGCATGGAATTTTATCAAATGCCTATTCAGGATTTCCTGAGATTATTATATGATTTTTCCTTATTTGGTATGATAGGCTAATAGACTTTCTAATATTAACAATGAGAGAAAAACTCTGGTCTTGGTGATTATTCTTTTAATATACTATTCAATTGGACTTTTTGGGTTGGTCAGTTAGTATTCTCTTATCCTAAGTGGTCTATAAAAAGGTTTCTTAACCATGGAACTGCCAACATTTTGGGTCAGAAAATTCTTTAGTTTGGGTGGCTTCTTGTTCTCTGCAGAATGTTTACAGCATCCCTGGCTTCTACCCACTAGATGTCAGTAGGAATCCCTCCGCTGACAAGTGACAACTAAAAATGCCTGCAGACATTGCCCCATGTCCCCTGGGACAGTGATACACAGGCTTTGTTTTTGTGCACGTGCCGCCTTTGTCAAGTTTTGGTATTGGGATCACGCTAGTCTCATTACACCTATCAGCTAGCTTTCCAGCTCTTCAGATGCTTGGGAATGTTAGGAAGCATTTGAATTAGCAGTTTCTTAAAATCTGACAGAATTTACTGATAAAGCCACCTGGCTCTAAAGCTGTTTAGAGAGAAAGTAATTTGGTAAATTTTTCAACTTTTTTCTTGCTCATTGAAGTTTCATGAATGAATTTTAGTAGATTTATGCTTTTTATAGAAAATTAATTTGAAGATTTCAAAATGTTTTAGCATACAAATTCATCCTTAATTTTAGAAAATCTGCTTTGAATCTTATTTGCTTTCTGAGTTCTAATTTTATTTATCTGTGTTTTGTTTTTTTGTGGATTAGATTTATCATAAGTTTGTGTTAGCTCTGTATCTTTTCTAGGTATCTTTTCTGGGATACTCTGCTGACAGAAGAAATAATCTGGTAATGAACTGACAAGAACTACTTCACCTAACAAGATACATCATATTAGAATAACGTGTTTGCAAAAGTGCTATAAAATTTTAAATTTTTACTAATTTTAATTATTACCAATAGTATTAATAATGTTCTTTTCATTCAAGTATTACTCATTACTGAATGATACATTTTGGAATACTGCATTTTCATAGGCCACTTTTACATGATACAGAACATTCAAAAAGATGAGTGCACACTATCAGACATCTATAGCAAAAAGAGTCAGGTTCTTAACCTGGAACACTTGTGCATCTTTCAAACAGAGAAACTGAAGTAGTTGAGGATAGCTAACTGGCTCCAGGTCACTTCATTAGTAATTAAATTGCAGGGCAAGGCTGAATTCAAGAGTGACATCATGCATAACCATGGTGAACATTTTAACATAGAGCCCAGGGAGGTTTCACCTGCAAACAAATACAAAACCATGGATGGATTTTTGCTGCTTGCAAAGAGCTTGTGACAACTGTCTATGTGTCCAGCTAAGTATACAGACAACAAGGGCATGCATTTGGATGCATCTGTGTCCATGAAGAAAAGCACATTCTTAAACATCACTGAGCAGTGGGAAGGGAGAACTAACATTATTTCCATTTAATGGGAGGAGAAGTGACCTTGAGGAATACAATGAGGTTTCCATTGTGGATTTAGGAATAGGCCCCAGACTGTTCTGTGTCAGCACTGGTGGGGAATTCACATCTACCTCTCCAGAGGTCTAGGCTCCCTCTCATAGTGGGGAGAACAACTGAGCTGTGTCCTGGAGGCCAGCAGATGGTGGTGCTCCTCTGGCGCCATACCTGCCACCACATCTCAGACAGCTGTTGGACCAAAGCTCTCCAGACATAAGAAACTGTGCTGGGCAACCCCTGGAAGAATCCTTTGACAACAATCAGGAGGACTAAGGGATTATACAATAACCACATCAGTTCTGTGACACTGACCTAGAGGTAAGACTCTGTTAAGAGTCAAGCCCCACATGGTCCCTTTCTAAGGCTGGTGTGTTTGCATATGCACTGCCTTGCCCTGTAACAGAGCAACACAGAAAGGCTTATTTTTGTCTTCCTCTTTTCCATTTTCCTCCCATACCAATGTTCTCACCTAACTCTGAGCATTCTTCCATCTCTACCCATTAGGCATTTTTCCTAGAAGTTCCTCTTACATAATTCTACCCCTTCACTTGGCTAAAATCCTGCATCATTATTCACTTGTTTACAAAACTTCCTCTGGTGGAAGGTCATTCAGTGTCCTACTGTGTGCAAATGGGATCTGTGGTGTAGGATGAATTCTGGGGACATCTAGCTAGTGGTGGGAAAGTCTAGGAACATGAGGAAACAGTCTTGAGGCCTGATTATTAACTACCCCAGTAGATTATAGTCATGGATAGTCTTCATTCTGTTGTAAATGTTAATTAGCAGTCCTGTGTTGGGGGTACTTTGTTTATACATTCCCTGTCTTGTTCCAGGAAGTATCTCAGACTTACAATGGGTAGATATGCAAAGTTTGATCTCATTTGCAATCTCTCTAAGCTCCTAATTATCATCTTTCATACTTGAATTACACATTCCAGACAGCAACACACTTTTATAAGCATTGTCTCATTTGATGCTCACAAAAAACCCTGTGAGGGTAGTAGAGCAGGTATTACCATCTCCATTTTACCAATGAAGACAATAGGCTTGGAGGATAAGTGGTGCACGTGCCAGGACTCGCACCCAAGTCCTTGGATGCCCAGTCTAGGGCTCTTTCCATATTTCATGCTGCCTTTGACATGGTGTGAGGAGCAAGTGTTAATTTTCAGAAGTGTTGTAAATAATTCAGAGAATCACTGCTGTGTATGTCTTGGACAAAGAATTATTATCCTGGGTTTCTCCAGCATTAGCAGGAACCCAAGCTGGAGTGGTGGCCTACAATGAGGGATACAGTCCCTTATTCTGCTAATTTTGCAGCTGCTGTTAAGGCATTGTGTGTGTGTGTGTAAAGCGTAGGATTGATTTTTAGGCCATAAACCATTTGTCTCCATGGAAAATACTTTTTTTCACTTACTGTCCAATATTGGTGCACTTCTGTCATTGGTGACTGTCTTCTTGAGTTTCTTCCCTTTGTTGATGTCAGAGAGAAGCGCATTTCTCCCAGCCTGCTCTGACTTATTCAGGGAAGGCTTTTCTGTATTGGCCTGCAAGGAAACCATGCAAACTCTTACTCATCTCTTGAATTAAAATCATGTTCTACAATATCTAGCAGGGACTGCTAGGGCTTTGGAAGCCTGTGATTAAAGTTCTTGGCAATAGGCTGTAAATTCTCAACAAGTTTTAGATCTGATGTCATTCTTTTTAAAACCCAGGCATCTTGCTGGGAGCAGATGCAGCAATAAATCACATTCATTTTTAATGCAGGAAGAGTCGGTCCCTGGTAAATGTCTCTGAAAATTCAGAACACGATCTGGCCATAACCAACAGAGCCAGGGTTAGATGGCTAGAAGTGAGAAGGGAATTTTAAGTCACAGAGGATTCTGCAGGATGTATCCTAAAGTTTCTCCTTCCTATCTTTTAACACTAACCTGATGCAAGGGAGAAATTGTTTCTAGAAAAAAGGGTCAGTTGTAAGTATTTTTTTTTAATCCACAAAAGTTTTTGGAAATAATTACCTCTGTCTGCCTGCTGAGGATTTTTTCCCCTTTTTAACTGAAGGCAGATTTGAGGTATAATTTACATACAGTGAAATCACCCTTTCAGTGTCCTGTTCTATGAGTTTTAACAAACATACTGGGTCAGTCAAGTTACAGAACATGTCCATACCCTCAAAAGTGTCCTCATGTCCCTTTGGCCTAAGGTGTTTCTGATGTTTATTCCCTTTGAAAACTTGGCTCACAGTGACTGCACATGAGACAAAGGTGCTGCTTTAAAATGTTGGGGTAGTTCCTCATTTTTCCAGAATTTCTGGTAAAGATCCTTCCTATGAAATTGGGCTCACATGTCCTCAGGGTTATCTTAGGGGGTGAGGACACCAAGAGCCCAGCACATGGACTCAGAAGCAGGCATGTGCCTGTGTCCGTCACACTTAGAAACTGGCTTGGTCTGGCCTGGTCCCAGGGAGAGTCAGCTTCCCCAAACCCAAACGCCCTCCCAGCAGATGTGAGAGTCCTTCTGGGCTGGCCTCAGCCCTTCTGAAAGGATCTGATTTCAGAGGTGCCAGTTAGGGCCCCAGGAGGGAAACCTGGGGCCATGTAGCTTGATACCTGATGCAGCCATTTATTGTCAGAGTTTGAGGCAGTGGGAGAGTTAAGGAAACCCTGAAGCAGCAACAAGGAATCTGTGTGTGTGAAGCGGGAGGGGTCTTAAACATTATAAAGTATTAATTGCTCATTGCAGTAATAGTTAACATTCACATCACTTTTACTGTGGGTCAGGCACTGTTTTTAGCATTTTATGTATTGATTCCTTTAGTCCTCATCAACCTTGTGAGTTATTATTTCCATTTTAGAGACAAGGAAACTAAGGCACAGGGAGGTGAACTCATGTGCCCAGTCACCAGGTCATCAGGTGAGGAGCCAGCACCCAAACCCTGACTGTCCGACTCCAGAGCCTTCCCTCTGACTTGAGGGAAGGGTAAATGTGGGACTTAAAATGCCCCTTTCCCAAACTGGGGAGGTGTTGTTAAAGGGTGCAAACTTACAACCTGAAGATGGTAAATCCTGGAGATTTGATGCACAGCAAGCAATTACAGTCAACAATACTGTGCCATAAACTTCAAAGTGGCTGACACTAGCTCTTAAATGTTCTCACCACAAAAAAGAAATGAAAACTATGTGATTGTGATAGAGGTGTTAGCTAATGCTATGGTGTTAATCATACTGCAATATATAAATGTATCAAATCAACATGTAGTACACCTTAAACTTACACAATGTTATATGTCAATTATATCTCAGTTAAAACACTGATAATATGTCCCTCTGCCCTCAGCCTCCAACATACCCCTGAACAAGCCTGTTAAGAGCTTCTCGGTAGTTACTCCAGAAATGCTCTTGGCATGCAGGATTTACTTTGCTAATGGGATCATCCTCTGCTCTGAAACTTGTTTTTTCAACTTAACAACATACCTTGGACCTTTTGGAAAGCGCTTTTAAAATTATCTACTGTCTTCATTTTAAGGGTGAAAAAACCTGAGACCCAGAGAGGTTAACTGACATGTCCACACTGTATCTCCTACCAGTGTGGAGCCCACTGACTCCCCCGGCCTCTTGTTCTGCCACAACATCTAGTTTGGCACCTGACCTCCTTGAGAGCTAACTTCTCTCACATGGCAGGCAGAGCCCTTAATCAGGTTGTTCTATTAGACAGTGTCCTGTGAAGGCCACCAGCCCCTCTTTCCTTTTCTCATCTCTGTACTCTATTTCTCTAGATCTTGCTATTTTAGTCAGGTAATAGTGGATAGAAAGTCATTCATAGGATAAACCAGGATTTCCTAAACTTCAGTCATTCTGGGTGGTACAATTTTCATGATTTTTGTCATCTTCTCATACTACCTGTGTTATTGTTTATTTAATATTTTTCATTAAGTCAATTCACTATATTATTTATTATACTATTTTTCAGTGAATGTTTTCTTTTAAATTAATTCACTACTAACCCCTGGGTTTGCTGGGCTACTTGTAATTTTTAGGATACACATTAAAATCAATACATTAAAATAAAACAAAAATTAATCCATGTACTACTCAGCAGTGGTATACAATTGGTACTTTAGGGAAATATAGATAAAATAATCCTTTTATGTTAGCCAGATCAGAACTTTTCAAATTTACCTAAGGGAATAATGAGATTAAAAAAATTTTCCAATCCATCTTGGACTGATATCTTTATAAAATAACAATACATTATTAGAAAAATGAATTAGTAAAAAATGACACACAAAAGACAATCTTAGAAATAAGAGGCATAATGTTACCGGCAAAATACGGTATAAGTATTTCTAATTGTTTACTTTCAATCTCTGTACCTCTCTCCTTGGGGACTAACTGGCAGGTGGAGGACAACACTTTGAGCAGCAATAAGCTAGTTAATGGTCTAGTCTTCCAATTAGGTCCCAGCCTCAGATTAGCCCTATAAATGTGTCCCATGGAAGTCTGGGCAAGAGACTTTTGTTCTGAGTCTCAGTTTCTCCAAGTGACAAATGAAGGGCCCATTACTGTGAAGCTCAGCAGCAGCAAAGGCGCCACATGCTGGGGAGGTAAGAGGTAATGGGGTGTGTTGGGAGCCTTTCCACATCACCATATGGAGGACTGCCAGCTTCCTGGAAGAGGGGGCTCTAAATTTGAGGACAGGTCTACCAAGGGACCAGGATGAGCCCAGTGAAGAAATTCCCTTGGGAATTAGATATCTAAATGTGGGGATAGATTTAAAGGGGGATGTGAGCTTTTGGGGAGTGGGGGTGGTGGTGGATGATATTTGTCAAAATCAGTGGGAAGAGAGATGGAAAAGGCAGAGAAAAAGAAGTGCGTGAGTCTGGAGGGATTTTAGTGGAGGCATTTCCCATGCACAGAGACCTGCTTTCTGGTCTGTGCTGCCCAGAAGCTAATGGCTAGAAGCTGAGTCCATCTGAGTGGAAACAGTGTATTCCAGGCAGAACCACTCCTAAGAACCTGTCTTGGGCCAGCGTTTGCTCCTGTGGGAATGAAAAGGACATTTCCAATGATGGACGTGGCAGAGAAAACATAACCAAACCAATCCACATTCCACCTGTGTACTGCGTATTGCAAGAGACCTTAGACAACAAAACCCTTCATGTTGTATTTGCTATGCCTCAGGGTCTGGCTTACTCCAGTACCTGAAAAGCCTACCATCTAATATTTAAGCCAGAATGCAAATATACTGAAAACAAATATATGTGTGCCAGGTTTGACTGCATTTGGCTTGCTTCCTTCATGGAAGGGGATTGTGAGCAGCTACTCACCAGAGCAAACGTAGGAGGGGGTGGGGGTGCTGGAGGGGGAGGGACAGGCATCTCGGACAGTTTTGCTTTCAACAGTCTTGCTGATGAGTCTGTTAAAACACAAAGAAACAAAAGACGGTCATGTGTGAGACTTCTTAGTAAAAGTCTGTCCTCATCTTCCCTCTCCATTTCCCACCAAGTGACTGCTATTCACATAGGCAAATTTTTATAACAGGTGGAATTACCTTTACAAGACTGTTGAGATGTTACTCTTCTGGATGGATCCTAGCAGGGGACATTTCTGAGCCAAAATGCCTGAAGATACTGGGAGCCACATCTAGCATCTCATGCTGCTCAACTCCACCACCCACCAAAGCAGGTAGGTCAGTGAAATGCCACCCGGGAGGAGCCGGGCGTGTGGCAGAGTGGGCTGGAAGGTCAGCATGACTTGCTAGAAGTGCATTGCTCCTTTCTCACTCACTGCCATGACTAAACCCTTTCTTGCACTGGTTTTATTCTCTCTGAAATGATTCTTGACACTCAGCTGGGTCTGTGTACGCACTGTAGGAATGCAAAGTGTGTCTTTTTCTGGTCTTGCCCTCAAAGTTCTTACAGCACTCCAGGGAAAGAAGACTGGGAAAAGGTAAGGCAAGCAGGTGAGATGGGCATGGTGGCTGGGTTCCTATGCTTGTGCTAACTGGCATTTCCTTACAGGATCTAGGTGGAAATAAAGGGGACAGAAGAGACAGGAGTCAAAGCTGTGACTCCTGGGCTATTTACAGAAATACGCTTAGAAAAGTTTTCTGCACAAGTGACTGCTCTGGGAACAAAGGGAAGGACAGACTGTGGCTGGGTGGGGGAGTTTAGCAGTGGACAGGGGGGTAGCCTGGCAAAAATCAGGGGCTGAAGAAATAACAGAACAACGGTAAAAAATGCCCCAAACGTTACACCAGCCATGAACCTGATCTCCCTTTCCCCCATTCTAGAGAGTCCCATCCCTGGCTCTCATCAGAAGCCCTGGGACCCAGCCTATAGCTGTGCTTCACCCACCTCCTCACCCTAAGTAATCCCAGCTCCTCCCACCCCGTCCTTGCTACTCCAAGTGTGGCCCCTGATCAGCAGCGCCAGCACCACCCAGAGTAGTAAGAAATGTCAAGTCTCAGCCCCTCTCCCTGCCACTGAATCTGTTTAGCATCTTAACAAGATCCCTAGGTGGTTCATATGAACTAAAATTTGAGAAGCCTGCCTTGTGGAGTTTGACCCTTAAACCAGTGACCACCTGAATAACACTGTTTCTATGGATCACATGTCCTGAACCTCAAATAGCAGAATTATTTCTTTTATTCACAATAGTTTAATTGCAGAACACATATTAGAATTTAAAGCATTAATTTATTTTAACCTCTAGAAGTTAAGTTACACCTTGAAATAAATACTTCTTATTACAGTCTTGCTAGATGGCTTGCTTTCTGGGAACAGAAATGGAGTGGAAAAACTGAAAGGATGTGGTCAGACTTGTTAAAGCTGCTGGAAGACAGGAATTAAGACGATTTGAGCAGTTCTCTTCCAAGTGGGCCATCTTGACAATGAAATTTTTAAGACCCCATAGCACAAAAGCAGTTCTGTCATTTATTGACTATCAGTTGGCCCCAGGGCCCTTGACTTATATTGTCTCCAGCTCTTAATGGACATTGTAAACTCGCAGGATTCCATTCACTTCACAAAGGGGGATCCTGAGACTCAGAGAAATTAAGTCACTCACTGAAAGACCCATGCAATTCACTCAAATCAAGTCCTAAGAGAAGCATTTTTAGGCAAAGGGGTAATTTGTGCTACAGCTCACCTGTAAACGAGGTCACAACCTGTTTTTCAGTAAGAGACAATTTCAAACAGGGATTCTTTTAAAATGTTTTCCTTAAATTGGTCTTTCCTGCATTACAGCAATTAGTCATGCATGGGGCTCCGTGGGCAGGGTAAGCAGGGTTGGGTGCCTGTTACGAAGCCTGTAACGGGGATTCTCCGGCTGCAGGAGCACCTCCTGAGGCCTCAGAGTCAGCCATGCCTGAGGACCGGCAGGAGGGACAGGGGATTTGAAATTGCACCCAGGCCCAGCCGACTGGGAAAGACGCTGCAGTCCAAGCAGTGGGGTTCATCGAACTGGAAAAAGCAGCTGAGCAAGGAAAGGGGTGGCTGAGTCTGTCCGGAGGGCCCAAGAGATGTCCTCCAGGGGCAGGTCATCCATGTGCTTAGACGATGAACTGCTCCTCAACACCTGAATTTATTGTGTTGAATTCCACATTCACCGAATTGTCTGTCATTGTAATACTCAGGAAGGAGTGGATTCTGGTCCACTGCCAGGAACCTCTTATGGGTTTAGTTCTCATGAGCCAGCCTCTGGTTCCAAACATCAATTTGAACTTCTGTCCTATACATCTTAGGGGCCAGACTGTGACAAAGGGACCCTTTCAAGGGCCTGCCATCCTGCCAGGCCTCTTTAATTTAATTGTTTTACAATTTTGTGTTGTTACTATGGTTCTGTGTGGGCACTAACTGACTTATAAGTAAACCTCTGGACCACAGAGGCTCAGCCTTTCCCTCCCAGCCACCTCAAACCACAGGGACAGGATCTGTGGGTGAGCCCTCTTACCTTTCTGAGTGGTACAGACAGATGGCTCTTTAGATCTCTCCACAGCTGACGCTTCCCCTAACCCCATCTCTCACTCTTCTACAGATAACGCTACTCCCTCTCAATGCTGAAAGGTGATACCAGAGGCTTCCATAGTATCATTGTTCCTTCCCAGCTTAACAGCTGCTTATCTGGAGTTGGCCAAGCTGGGGCCTCAAGGGAGGTTTGTGGAAACCCCAGCCTCCAATCCTGCCACCTGACCACATGGGTCAAAGAAGACCAAGTTCATGTCCTTCATACCAGGGTCCTGCCAGTCTCACTTCCTGGCTGTCTTTCCACCAGACTGTGAACTCCACCAGGTCTTCCCAGAGCAGGGCTCCCACTGAATGTGTGTGGTGTGGAAGAGCTGTATGTTGGCCACTGAAACAGTTCCCAGCACCATGCCTTGTGCATTCTGAAGTCTGGGCAAGGAGGCCGCCCATGTCAGAGGGGCTTACCAGCATTAAGTACTGGAACTTGCTTTCCTAGCAGGCTCTGACTTTGCCGGTGAGGTAGAACCAAGGCCTTGGGAGAGCTGAGCCTTCCCTCCTCTCACAGAATTGACAGCCCACATCAACAACCAGAACTGGGCCTCAAGAGCAGATCAGATCCAAAAGAAGCAGGCACCCCTAACCTGGATCCTTACACTGGCAGGTCTGGGTACAGAATTCAGGATCTTGTGCACTTGGATGCAAAAGAAAAGGGCTTATTTACTTCTCCTAAATTCTAACTAAAATTTAGCATTTCCTTCAATTATGAATGTAGGCCACAAGACACAATACCTGAAACTTCTTCACTAATAATTTTTTACTTGCTATTCCCATATTACAATTGTTGCATATCTCTTCTGAAATTGTGGCAATGTTTAGATCTAGTGCTAGATCTTGCTGTCCATACTTCAATGTAACTAGTTTCCTTTGTAATGCTCTATATTTTGGTTTATGCACTTAACAGTCAGAGTTGTCATCCTTTGGGTTTTACCAGACACTAGTGCGGTCTATGGAATGAAAAAGATTAGAAGCCCTGTGAGACTGTGAGCCCTGGGTCAGGTGAACCTTTGCTCTGCTATCTCATAACTAGGGATAAGCCTCTAACCTCCCTGCATATCCCCCCTCCCCTGCCCATGTTAAATGGGGTTGCTGGGAGGACAGATGGAATGGTGCATGTGGCCTGGCAATAGACAGGTCTAGATCTGTCTTCCTTGACGACGGGTTCTGCTGGTGTGAATGCTACTCAAGTACCCAGAAGAGGAAGAGACTGAGCGGAGGTGCTGGCATTGCCCAGAGTCCTGTGTGGGCAGGGCTGCACAGGGCAGAATGAGGCAGCCTGAGGATGCAGCCTGGCTGCATGTGGTTCTTCCCTCAGGAGATGGGGGCGCCAGGACAGGCAGCACAGTTCTGGGGCCAGGAGGGGCCTGAGAACAGGGAAGGGGGCAGGGGCTCCCAGAGTGGGGGCTGTCCTCTCTGGCACCAGAATCAGCTGTTCACTTTTGAGAATGCTATGTCCTGCTTCCCACCCTTCTTAGGCTCCCTGAAGTTGGGAGGATCACTGACCTACCCATTTGCTGATCTGATCCTTGCCCTCCCAACCTATCCTCACAGCTCAGGCATCGAACTTTAAAGAATATACACTTTTGGCAATTAATTTCTTCTAAAGAATCATTTCAATGTTTAAATAGCTTTCATCATAGGGAGAAAAGCCAGACTTTTCTAAAATGTTCACCTTGTGTTGAATTTTTTTTGTGCATAAAGAAAACCACAGGGATGGGAGGTTTTTTGTTTTCACACACAGTGCTGTGTGTTGCACTGTGCTGTGTCCCTCCCCAGTTCCTATGTCGAAGCTTTGACCCCTAATAGCTCAGAATGTGAATGTATTTGGAGATAGGCCCTTTAAAGAGGTAATTAAGTTCAAATGAGACCATTAGGGTGCCTCTAATCCAGTATGACTTGTAAGAAGAGTTAGAGACACTAGTAAACCATGTGAGGACACAGAGAGAAGGTGGTTGTCTGCAAGCCAGGAAGAGAGGCCACAGGAGAAAGCAAACCTCCCGACACCTTGATCTTGGACTTCTAAGCCTCCTGAACTGTTGAGATAATAAAATTCTTCGGTTCAGACCACCCAATATGTAGTGTTTTGCTATGGCAGCCTAGCAAATGAATAAATGACAGTTTTAATGATACACATCTATCATGTTGTGAATTTGAATAAAATATACCATCAATTGATTTCTTATCCAAGATATCTCTGGATAATATCAAACATTAAGGAAATTAAAAGTCAACCTGAATCTCAGGGTATGTGAGTGATTGCCAAAGTTTTACTTAATAACTATATGAATCATTCAAAAATAATCAAGTTTCAGTTGAAAAACTCTTGAGATGAGGGATGGGATCTGCCATAAACCTTTTATAAAAGTACTGCCTCTATGGCTTGAGAGAATATTTT